TGTTCGCATAGACGTAGGCGTTGACATTCGCGGCGGCTACTGCGGTTGCACTGTGGCCATTCCGCGCCGGACATTCACGAGACCAATGACCGTCTGATTGCAATTTCTGCACCTCGTCCTTTTGATCAGCTCTGACAGTGGAAGACGTGATTTCCTCGGTCTAACCTGCCCATTGGCAGCGCGATGCCCGCGTGGCTGCCTGTGGGCCGGCTCTGGTTTGTCCTTACTGCGATCGAAGAACTTGCGATCCACCTTCATCTTGCGCTTGAGATCCAGGTTCTGCTCCCACGTTTTGCGCCTCTCCTCCTGCACGGTCGCAAACGCCTGTGGAAGCTCGTCGTCGTACAGGCCAAGGCCCTCCAGCGCCACGTAGACCTGCTGCTCGCCGTCGGTGTCTAACGAGGAGACGTCGTCGTCCTCTAGGGGGGAGTCGAGGTCGAGATCGTCCGTCTGTACGGAGTAGGTGGGCTCATCCTTGGGGGAACTGCTGCCCGCCATGAACGATCTCTTCTGGAAGGATAGGCGCTCTCTCCGGGCGACGTCCATCTCCCTGATCGCGGCGAGAACCTCGGAGTAGGAACCACGGGTCTTCATCATGACCCTCATCAACTGCTGGCCTCTCTCATCGAGACCGACGCCCTCTTCCAGGAACATGAACTTCCAGTCCTCTGGGACTGGAAGACCTAGTGTCGCCACCTTGTCGAATGAGAGGTCGACACGGGCGGCGTACTCGGTGAGTCCTTCTCCCTGCCGTCGTCGGAATGAGAAGAGACACCCCCTTCCGGCCTTCCTTGTCTCGTCATCCACCTTCTCGCCTGACGGGAGGTCCAGGCGCTCTATGATTTTGTCAGCGCCGTTATTGGAAGTGAGAACTTCATCCGATAGGTCGTCCATGTTCCTCTGGATGTCAAGAGGAAGTACCTTGAGAATGCGATCCGCATGTTTGTGAACGGGAATGTCTGTGAGCTGGCGCCAACGCACAAGCTGGCGCCTCCATAGTTTGTACTCGTTCCAACTCCGGTATTTCTTAAAGAGCTCTGGAGCAAAATGATGAGCAAATAATGAAAACAACAAAACAAAATATTCTTGTGTTACAGATACGCGAAAAGAATATTGTTGTCGTATTCATATAGCCATATAATTTAACAATATAATTGTATAATCATATATTCTAAATCTTTAAACATTAATATGTATTGCAAACATATAATTACATAATGATAAGGTTATGTAATTTACATATATACAGATAGTTACATGTGTATAATGATATACGATAAGTAGCAAACTATTCGAGCATGATTTCTTCTACTATCTGAGAAACATTGTAAAATAACTCCCAGGAGCGGAGTTCAGGTCGCAAACCGAAGGGAACACGCTCGCAATCCGAAACAAGAGGTCTATCAAACAACGGGCTTCAGACGATCACTGTCTAACGCTCAAGTTCAGACTCGCATTGAGACAAGAGAAGGCCAATTTTCAGTCTCACCGCGCCCCTGCACCACGGCCGCACAAGTCAGCAACGCCTGCAAGTAAGCCTCCTCCTCCTCCATCTCCTCCTCCCCCCCTCGTCCTCGTCGCCATCTGGGATTTTCAAACCGACTCGAAAATAAAACACAGCCCCCTCCTCCTCCGCATCCCCCCCCCGTCCTCTCCCCTTCTTCCTCCACCGCCCATCCGTCTGTAGGCAAATCGCTCTGTCGCGCCCACCTACTCCGCGCGTGCTGAAGCGAGAAGGGCCAACGCGTTCGCGGCCGACTCCCTACGCGAGACACTCTGTGCACCGTGCGAATCAACGCAGAACATAGCGGCCATCAAAAGTGCTACAATGATCGTGCCGGGGAACGCATTCCCTGCCATGCTTTGCCGAAGCGGGCCCCCCGTTTCCTTGACAATGCCAGCTAACCTGGCATCCATGCACGGATAACCTTGCAGCATCAGGCTTTCTACCCCAAGGAGTGGGCGGTTCACCTGACCAGACATCCAAATGATCGATCCAGGCAGGATGGTCGGACATACCACCTTGCCGTTCTTCTCGCTGGTAATCAGGATCCTACCGATGGATTGGCCGATATCTACTCCCGCCGGGGCTTCCTTACCTTTCACCGTCTTGGACGCCTGGGCGTAAGCTAAAATGTCCCTGGACCGAGCGCACACAGACGAGTAAAAAGGTGACTCAATGTCGGCCTGAGAGGGCGTCACGGCCTGCCATCGTTTGTTGAGCTGGAGCCACGCCTTCCTGTGGGCCTCGATCGTGGAGGAGTCCCACCCCTTGGACTGGCGGGTGCTACGACGGACAAGTTCTTGTCTGACGTAGTCGTCGTCCTGGAAGGGGGGGAAGGGGCGGCGAGCCGCGCCCTCCACCCTCTTCTCGACGCACCCCCCATCCAGCCCATCCCTCTTCATTGCTTTCACTGAACCTTACCCTCCTCCTCCTCCTCCTGATCTTCCTTTTCTTTCTCTTCCCACTATTACTACAATTCCTACTCGGTTGTCTCTTTCGATAAAGGGTGAAGGGGGAGGACGGTGAGGGGGCGCGACGGAGAGGGGCGAAGGCGACGGGCCAGGAGACGGGCGAGGGGAAGGGGCAATGACAACGAGCCCAGTAACACAACGCAGGGGCGTTTCAATCCCCCAACAAAACGATCCCCGGAGAGCAGCACGTCGAAGAGATCCGGGCAAGGCATCTTGAACTTCTGGAGCAGAGCCTCAAACTTCTCCCAGAACACGGCGTAATTATTGATCTTCATGCGCTTCCCTGGACTCAAAACTCCGAAGAAGTACGTCCGTACCCGCGATTGCGGGAGACCATAGTCCGAACAGTCGAGCACATATGCTTTTGTATCATAGCCCCGTGCGGCAATCAACGATAATATTGTGTCCACCGCGGACTGCCCTGCCTGATCTGATAGTTCTACGTTCTCCAAAAGAAGAAACTCTGGCATCGTTTGGTCAATGAAGTCCAACGTCCCATGAAAAGTATCAGACGTTTTTCCCGAAGAAGATGAAGAGGACTCTATCGCATTGGGGGCGCGGTTCACATTTGCCCGAGAGAAATCTTTGCAGCTAAATCCTGAAACGAGAATGTCGAGATCATCTGGTAAAGGACACTGTTGTTTGTGCCTCTTGCAAGACCCCTTCCCTCCGAGGAATGAACAGACGTTGTCAAAAGCACAACATTCGGTCCATCCTAGTTTGCTCGTTGTTTGCATGCCCCAGTTCAACTTGTGCTCATCTATCTCCCATATACACATCATGTCGAATTGGATGTTGACGTCCACCTCCCTGAACGTATCACTCATGGAATCAATCGCGGGCCCGACCATGTCGGACCCACTGCATAAGTGCGCCACCTAGCGAGAATAGCAAGAGAGAGGCAGCCTGCGCCACCCTTCGCCTCCTCCTCCTCCTCCTGCAGCCCTACCCCCACGCCGCCGACCTCACCTCCCCCACCGCACTACGTTGCCCTTCGAACCTTCACAACGCGGTCCATGATGGGGCGGCCGAGGGCGCCGATGCCCTTGAAGACGCGCGCCCGCGCAAAATCGACTAAGGTTTCACCCTTCGCAAAAGCAGCTGCTGACATCGAAGGCGGGGGCGGGGCCGAAGGCGGCGTGAAGCGCCGCTGGAGCTTCCGAGGCAGGAGAACCTGGCCAGCGCCCTGGCCGCCCTGTGCCTCTGCGGCCTCCCTCTTGGAAGACCGCAGCCACATTGCTGAGCACGGTCCGCACGGTGCGCCGCGCCGTCGCTGGAGACACTCCCGGCTTGGGCCCGCGCACGCTCCATCGAGCGATCGATCGAGGACCATCGATCCCGTCGTCGGGCAATCGATCGAGGGCCCGAAGTCGAGCAATCGATCGAGGGCCAAGTAGAACGATCGACCCGAACTCGAACCCGAAGTCGAGCCGAATTCGAGCTGGCCTTGATCCGAAATCGATCCGAAATCGAGCGATCGATCGAGGGCCCGAAATCGAGCCTCCCTCCCGCGCGGACATCCGAAACGCACAAATTACATCGGCCTCTGCGGGCCGAGCGGCCGCCCTAGAATACCCCCTTCCCCCCACTACCCCGCCCCGTGGGGGTGACCACACATGTGACCACGCGCCTCGCCGTGGCACCTCCGACGCCGTGGCCGCGCTGGCTCGCGCTGCGATCTACGAATCCCTCGATCTCATGCAGCACCCCCCCGCTCCTCCTCGCCCTCCTCCTCACCCTCCACCTCCTCATCGTCCTCCTCCTCCCCCATCTGGCCCAATCCTCCATGTCCTCCTCGCCCCATCCCCCATCCGCCCCCTCCCTGACCCCGCCGACTTAATCGTCTTCAGAGCAATCTGATCGCCCCCGATCCGCTGGCAAGCGTCCGGCAGCTATTTACAAGCATGCCCAGCCCTCATCGCACCGCTCGTCTACTAACCACCTGCTAGCGCAGCCGCGGGCTGGTCCTCGCGCGGCTAGGCCGTCTTCCGCGCGACCTTGGCCGGGGGCTCCTCGGACTCCTCATCGCCCTCGTCCTCGGCATCGGCCTTGCCCTTGCCCCTGGCCTTGCCCTTCCTGCCGCGGCCCCCACCGCGGCCCCCACCGCGGCCTCCACCGCGGCCCCCGCCGCGGCCGCCGCGGCCGTCGCCGCGCCCGTCGCGGCCACCGCCGCCGCCGCCGCGGCCGCGCCCCCCCTTCTTGATCAGCGGCGTGTCGCTCTCGTCCCCGTCGATGCTGTCGTCGGCCTTGTCAACAGCCTTGGCCTTGAACTTCACCCCCAGGATCTGCATCCCCTCCGACACGTACCCCTGGGGCGGAGAGGAGATGAGCGGGGGGAGGAGGCCGAGAAGAAGGGCGAGGGGGGGGTGAGGGAGGAAGGAAGACTTCTGAAGAGGGGCAGGAGGGGGGGGGGGGAGGTGCCGAGGAGGAAGGGGGGCCCGAACAGCAGCGAGCAAGGGACTCGCACACGGTCGTCACGCGGAGGGCAATACCTCCTACCGATCGCGCCCGTCGTTCCCTGTTCGCTAGTCCGACCCCCGAGCCTCAAACACCTCCACCTGCATCAGGTCCTCGTTCTCACTCATCGTTTTCACGATGTCCTGTCTTGAAGCCCGAGACAGAAACTTCACCCTCGGCCCTCCCTCCTTCCCCTCTCCTTCCGCTGGCCCACCCTCGCCGCCCATCCCCTCTCTGCCCATGGCTGGCGGTGGCGGCTCGCTCCCGAGGAGCGGTTCACCCTCCCAGTCCGCAAGGTTCTTGCGAAGGTCCGTCTCCATGGGGTTCCGGATGGCAGGGTTGCGCAGCAAGGCTAGCATGGTGTAAATCTCGAGGAGGTCCATGGAGACCTTCACCAACTCCACGGCGTTCGTACACTGTTCCGCGCAGCCCACGTCTGGCAAGCTCACTCCGACGTTCTTGCTGACTTTCATAAGCTGATTCGCTAGCTTGTCCAACTCGCCCCTCTGCTTCACGATGATCTGGCCATTCGAGGACATGAACGACAAGAACTTGTCCTCTGTGTTCTGCTGCGTGAGGTCTGGGGACTTGTTCGCCAACGCCTCGAGCTTATCTGCGACCAGGGTCATCTCGTGGGCTGCATGGGTCACAGCCCGACTCCCAGCCGACCCGCATGCATCCTTCCCACGCCCGCAGAAATCCGTCAGCCAACCCACCTGAAACCCGAGAGACTGGGCCTGCGGCATGGACTGCCCCTCCTCATCCGTCCACGCCTCCAACTGCTTCGCCAGGAAATTCATGCCGACGCTGAGGCGCTCTGCCGCAGCGCTCTGCTCCTTCCGGCTGGCCATGCTGAACGGGTTCGGCGTCGAGGAAGCATCGGCGCCGCTGGAGGTGAGCAATTCCAAATCCGTCATGGCATTCAGCACGGTCATTAACACCTCCTGCTTTGTACTGATGACGTCCTCGCATTTCTTCTTTGCGGAAGCCAACGTCTGGCCGCGAATGCCGCCAGCGGTGCCCTGGCAGAGCGACACAATCTCAGTGACCAGAGCGCCCTGCACGCTGTCAGTCCACGTGGTGAAGCTCTCCGCGCAGGCCTTCAGGAGGGGATAAAGCTCGAAGAACCTGCATATATCGTCCACCTCCTGGCCGCCCGCTGGGAACGCCTCTTCCTGTGGCAACAGAAGCATCTTCCTCAGCCCCTGCGTCACCGTTGAAGCGCACTTCTCCCACAAGGCAACGGACGCCGATACGTGGTTCAACATCGCCACCTTCCTGGACTTCTCGTCATCATCAGCATTGTCAAACCCATCGGGGCAATTCTGCACTACATGTGTAAGCATCAAGTGCACGCAGTAGTGGAACAAGTCGGATTCTTGCAGAGCGGCCTGCGTCTCTCTCCCGACGTGTCCCTCGAAGAGCGTGCTAGAGTCGTAATTCTCCGGGCGGTACCACTTCCCAGTTCCCCACTTCATGTCCGGGTCGTCGTCTGGGAGGCGCAGCAGGTGATTCTCCGCCACAAGGACCGCCTTCTTCACCAGGTTCCTCCCCATGCAGCCGACGATGTCCTGGCGGGGTGTTTTCAACCTGTGCCCTCGTCCTCTTACTTCTTATACCAAAAACACGTTGTGGTAGGGATCACCACTGCCCGAGTAGCGATCCCTACCAAGTTGGCCTTCGCTTGTTGAGTTTCCGCCGCCTCCTCGCCCGCCTCCTCCCACCCTGGCCCTCCCCCCTCCGACGGCTCGGGAGTTCTCGCGCCCCCCCCTTCACCTCCGCCCCCGCGTCCTTGGCGCCAGTCTCGACCAGCTTTACAAGCTCGTCGCCCTTGGCCTTCACCGCGGGCACCTTGGAGGCCTGCACCACCTGGATAGCCTCTGTCATCGATTTCAAAGCAGCCTTGGCCGCAACTCGGTCGCCCGACTCCACGGAGGACATCGCATCCGCGACGCATTTCTCAGCATTCGAAATCTTGGCCTGCTCCCGCATGGCATCCTCGGACATGTCGAGAATATCGTTGGCCCTGTTCATCAAGAGTTTGCCCGAGGCGTGCTCCGTCAGGAGGACGCGGATGGGGGAGGGCTGCTCCGGCTCCGCCTTTCGCGCCCATCCACCCACCCACTCCAGGCCCCGATCATTGCGTAGTCCTTCGGTGCACCGAAAGCTACAGCCCTCGTTCAGCGTGGGATTGGGGCCCCACCGAAAAGGGCGGCAGATGACGGTGAGCCGAGAGACATTGCGATTCGGTGCCCTCGCCTTCTCGAAGCTCTCCAAGACACGCACGGTCTCCGACTTATCCTCCATCGTGTCCACGGCCGACGCGTGGTACAGCACGTGTATGTCATCCACCAATGACGTGGCAAGGAAGTCCGGCTGGATTGAGACTTTGTGGAGCTCCAACACGAAAGAGCGGAGAATGTGGAAGGGGTTCAGAGTGTCGACTTTCTTCCCGGGCACCAAGTCCTTCGCCTTGAGCTTGATGATCAGCTTACTGATGGTGTTTTCCACGATCCTCACTGCGCACTCCTCGGTCTTATCGTCGCCATATGATTTTAAATCGCGGAGGGCTGCGACGATGGGCGAAGACCTCAAGAGGTTCTGAGTTGCCTCCGCGTAGTTGCCGACGAAGATCTGTTGTGCCACTTCCTCACCCCAGTTGATGGAGCCGAGCGCGGCGTTCATCTGCATGCCAGCGGAAACCGCGCCCGCGTAGGCCTCGCACACCTCCGACGAGCTCGACCGAGAATTAGTCAACACCTTGAGGAAGTGGCTGCACGCCTGGGCGTCCGCCTGGCCCTTCGCGGCGAGGTCGCACTCTGCAGAGAGGTGGCCCTTGTTGGTGCTCTTATCGATCTTCACCACGACGGCCCTCCACAGGCCACTCACCTTCGCCCACGATTTTAACAGTTCCTTTGTGTAAGTGGTCGAAGTCCCGATGTCGATGTCCTCGGACTCCGTCATGTCCAGCAGCTTATCCATCTCCTGCTTTGCAGCGTCGATGTCGGCAACGACGCCGTTCTTCAAGCGGGTGAAGCGGCCGTCGTTAGACAAGTCGACCGCCACGCTGGCCTGGTGTTTGCTACCGCTGCTGCCCGCCTCCGAGCGAGCCCTGTTCAAGCCGCGCATGAGAGGGTTGCCGCCGCCTGGCGGCGGCGACGGCACTGGACCCCGCCCAGCTGTTCTCGGCCTTGACCCCGCCGTCGTAGTCTGACGCGCCGCCAAGCCGCCGCCCAGCAGTGTCCTGGCGCGGAAGTCGAATGCGCCTATCGTCTGTGCTCCATCTGAGTCGTCGTCATCGTCGTCTTCGAGTTCCGGTGCGAGCACTTCTTCCTCCGGGGGCTTCGCCGCAGAGCAGGCAGGGGCGCTCCGCGCGTAGCTGCCCTGCGCGATGGCCAACAAGTCTGCGGGGGTGAGCTTGGCCATCTTGCTGGATGGAGCGCCATTCGCCACCCCCGCAGTGCGCCTTCCAGTCTGCGCGCCCCCCTGCCGCCGACGTTTCCCATCATGAAAGGGGGCGCTACAGCTGGAAAGCGGAATGTGGCGGTGGCGAACGACGCCCAACAAGGCCTCTTGGCAGCCTCCGCGTCCGCGCCGTGCATCTGGCTGAGCGCCGCGAACTTGCGCGCCTGCTGGCCCTTGTCCAACACTAGCGAGCCGTCGTCGTGCGTCGTCGTTATGGCGGTGGCATCCGTCTCATAGTCCTCGTACTCCCAATGGTTCGGCAGGTGCACGTTGAAAGCCCCGGGCACCCAGAAGCCATCCACAGTGCCAACAATATCGTCGATGTGCTTCTTTGTCGGCTCCAGCTTGGTGAACGCCTCAACGTAGGTGCTGACCCTGGGGTTGAGGTACATGTCGCGGAAGGTCTTCTCCAAGACGAACGTACGGCGACTAATCTTCTTGGAGCCCCTCTCCTTTTTCTCCGTCACCGTGGTCTTCGCCTCGAAGACAGCCGCCGACAAGGCCTTCGAAGACGAGCTCGGGTCGTCGTTCAACTGCTTGATATAACCGCGCTGGCCCTTCATCACGTTGCCGCGCGCGTCCGGCTCCTCCCTCATCTTCTGCAAATAATTCGTCAACGTCCCATGTTTCAACGCAAGACCGAGGAGAACAAACACCTATGGAGCCGCGCGCCTCGCGAGTGCGCGGGCCTGCCCCCCAGTCTAGGAGGAGGATGAGGAGGGGGGGGCAGGATGAGGGCGAGGACGAGGAGGATTCCTGAGGAGGTGGAAGTGGAGGGAGGAGGGGGAGGAGACGGGAGGAGAAGACTGGGAATAACACCTGGGCCAAACCGATCACGCCGCGCGCCCCGCACGGGGCCTCCCCCGCAACCCAGACGTCGCCCCGAGCACGGCCACACACATTGAAAACCGATGGCACGTGGCGCGGCGAAATCGGTTTCGCCCAGGACAGAGGGCAACAATCACGTCTACCCCTGGGACTTGGGACCCAAGAGCTCTCTCAAGCGAGCCCCCTACGACGCCATTTTGTGGCCATTTTCTTCCCGCGATTATTCGTGGCCATTGTCTCCCCCTCGGGCCCCAGGAAGCTCTTTTTGTTCCTCTCTCTCTCTCTCTCTCTCTCTCTCTCTCTCTCTCTCTCTCTCTCTCTCTCTCCCTCTCTCTCTCTCTCTCTTGTTCTCTCGTCTTTGTTCTCTCTGTCACTTGCGCCTGCTGTTGGCTCCCCGGAATGCCTATCTGGCCTCTAGCGCCACCCCAGAAACACACCCGCACTCGTTTGGCTGCGCGGCCCGTATTCCTTGGGGCAGAGGCGGCAGATGCAGCCCCTCGGGATCTTGAACTCGCAGTCTTCGGTGGCCGTGCACCTGGGCGGGCCACGTCTGGCTTGGGGCCTTCTGGGCCCCTCTGGCCGATAAGGATCCCAAGGACCCCAAGGACCCCAAGGACCCCAAGGACCCCAAGGACCCCAAGCCCTGCTGGCCGATAAGGACCCCAAGGACCCCAACACTCAGAAGGCACAACTCACAGACTTGACCCTCCCGCTCACCTGTGCCACGGCCAATATCCGCCGAACATCAAGTGCGCCGCCTCACCCTCGAATGGCGTCTCTTCGTTGCACTTGTGGCCGCAGCAACTGCACACCAGCACCTTCGACATGGTCGTCAGGTCCATTACCGGGAGTTGCATGACCTGGCCGTAGTTGTCATTGGCCGCGCACGTGCGGCCACCCAAGCTAACGGCGTCGCTCATGGCGCGCCGCTGAAGCCAGCTCGGGTGCGAGAACTGCCGAGCACGTGCGTTTGCCAGACAGGGGTGCGATTGTCATCAGAGAAGCTGCCGCCGAGGCGCATCTCGAGCCCTGCGGCGCGAGGGGCAGCCCTGCCAAAGGGAGGGCAGGAGGAGCAGGAGGGGGGGCGAGCATCGCTAGACGCCCTCCTCAAGAGCGAAGCGACGACACGGTTGGCACAAGACCGATGCCCGAGGAGATCCCTGAACCATGGCCGAACCGCGCCCGGCGGACTCGAGAACGGCTCTCCGAATCTCAAACCTTATTACTATGAACATGAGAGCGGCCCACCGCCGACATCACTCAACATCTCCCGCACGCTGGCCAACTTATGCTTCCCGACCATTCCCAATCGCGATTGATATGATTCAAGTTTATCCGCGGCGTTCTGGAACAATGTACGAAACAGTCATACAATTAATTCTTTTTTGTGCATGAAAAAACATGATGTGAAACAACAGCACGGTGCTGTTAAATCACAGCACCCGGCTGTGGATCCACAGCCGCGGGCCGTGGATCCACAGCCGCGTACTGTGATATCACAACACAATGCTGCATAAAAACATCATGAGACATCAAATATACAAATTCAACAAATGGCAATAAAATCAATGCTACCCCTATCTGAATTCTTTTGGAAAGTACAACTTGCCAACGAAACCTCCAGACATTTTTGCGAACTATTACTTATGCTCAAGAACTGCGCCAGAACATGTCACGGGCGCCCAGCAAGAACACCTTCCAAACGGTCGAACGACACGCAGGGCTCCTCGGGCTCGGACACGGCCAGTGCATCTCGGCACGCCAAATGGAACTCTCATCCACACAGAAGCGGGGCTACGCAACCACGAAACTGCACGTGTGTCCTCCTAGAATGGGGTCGCCAGCGGCTGCAGGTCTCCTTCTCCTTCTCCCCCCTCTTCCTCCTCCTCTCCCTGCTCCTCCTCCTCCTCCTCCTCGTCCCACGGCCGACGAGTGGGGGGCGAGCTGCGCGGTGGCGCGCGGCGCGAGGCGGCCGCTGGAGCCTGGAACTTCATCGTCGCGTGGCGGGGAGGGCACGTGCCGCGCGGCGCGCGACGGCCGCTGGAGGACGACGACGACGACCCTCCTTGCTCCCTCCCTCACCTCTCCCTCTCTCCCTTACCGCCCTCCTTCCCTCCCTCCCCTCCCAAACGTCCCTCCACCCCCCTCCCTGCCCCCATTCCCCCACCCCTCGTTCGTGCCTGTCGCGCCGAGGAGGGCGCTCGAGTCGTGGGATAGGACTGGACGAGCGGGAATGGGCGGGATGGGCGCGATGCCTGATCCCGGGCGCATGGCCAAGTCGAGCACAGACACTCTTGGCGGGAGGGACAGGGGAGGGGGGGAGAGGGAGGGAGGGAGGAGGGAGGGAGGAGGGAGGGAGGGGCAGCGGGAGAGAGGGAAGGAGGGGGGAGGGAGGATGGGGGGAGAAGAGGATGGAGGGAAAGAGGAAGGAGGGAGAGAGGGACAGTCTTGGCGCTCCCCTCGCACGGGCAGATGCACAATACGCTGAAGGCAAATCCAGAAGCCTGACGCTGACGCAATGCCGCTGCCGTCGAACTCCTCCTTCTCCGCCTCCTTCCCTTTGCCCTCGCCCGCCTCTTCCCCATCCTCGTTATCAGGTCCTCTTATCCTCCTCCTCCGCCTCCTCCCCTCCCCTGGCTCCCCCATCGGCCTTCTCCCCCCCTGCGCTTGGGGGGGCGGCGCAGCGCGGTTGCCGCCACACCCCTAGCCCCCGCACTTGGCCTACCAGCACAGAATGCTGTCTCATCGGCCGCCCGGCCGCCACAAACAAACTCCTACGTTGCTAACTTTGGCTCCTCTACTGGTAGAGCCGCCACTCCCACGTGTTCCGCCTCAAACTCTAGCAACGGCAAAAGCGCGGGCTGTCCCTCCACCCACCGCCCGGCGTTCTCTCGACTGTGGAAATCCGCCTGCAAGGCTAACTTCATGTCCGCGTGGTCTTTCCTACTCTCACTGCGCGGCCCGAGACGAAGCCACGCGACCAACATTCCAAGAGGTGCCCTACTGGCCTGGCGATTCATTCGACACTCTGGGCACGTCGGCGTGCTGTGATTAACGTGAAACTTGTTATGTTCACCGATGCAAGCGCAATGTGCATTGAGTGAAAGGCGCTTCCTGTCAATTTTGATCCATCCTATGTCCTCTATGGCGCACGTGTCAAGATGGCCCTCGATGGCACGGGCATCTCTCTTCTTGCCAAGCGGCTTCTTCTTGAGAGGCTCGTGCGCCTTGAGAAGAAGGGCCAGCGGGACGTCGTCGGGGTACTTCCCCTGCGCGGTAACTACATCCCTCCCTGTTCCTCCTCCTGCTCCTACTCCTCCTCCTCCTCTCCCCCTCTCCCCCTTCTCCCCCCCTCCTCCTTCTCCTCCTCATGTCCCTCCCCTCTCCCTCCCCCCCCCGCCCTCCACCCTCCCTCCCCGCCTCCTCCCCCTCTCAAGGCGTGCCCCGAGAAAGAACCCAGGAGGGCCTCCTGTGCTCTCTTGGCGCCCGTCTTGCGTTTGCCAGCCGCCCCATCATCGCCGAAGTCGAAGTCGTCGTAGGCCTTGCCAGCCACCTGGCTGCCCGCCGAAAGAGACTCGTCCTCGGATGGGCCGCACGCGATCACCTCACCGAACTTGTCGCCTGCAGGAGGCGGCTCTGCAGGAGGCGGCATAGGCAGCTCGTCGCCCGCAGGGGGCGGCTCTGCAGGCGGCGGCATAGGCAGCTTGTCGCCCGCGGGGGGCGGCTCTGCAGGAGGCGGCATAGGCAGCTTGTCGCCCGCAGGGGGCGGCTCTGCAGGCGGCGGCATAGGCAGCTTCTTGTCACTTGCAGGGGGCGGCTCTGCAAGCAGCTTGTCGCCTGCAGCGTCGCCCATGGGGTCTGGGGCAGCTGCGAGGGCAGCTGCGACGAGGTCAGGCTTCCCACCTCGGCGACGGTATGTCACCTTGGGCTTCCGCCGCTGCTCTTGCGAAGGATTCTGCGCCTTTTTCAAAAGACGCACTGCCCTCAACGCAGCTGCTCTTTCCTTCTGCTTCTGCTGTTCGGCTGCAATGTCAACTGGGTGATCGAATGCCTTGATCTTCAACTCCTTGAAATTACTGCAACTTTCCCAATCCACCTGGGCCCGTCGAAATGTCCACGGCCCAGCGCCGCGCTGCACGACATCTGCAGCCAATTGCACCTCCGTGTACTGCTGCAGAATAATAGGGGACCCGGGAACGTCTGAATCTGCCCGAACAAGACGAAGCTGGACTGTGAAAGGGGGATCTGGCACACCGTCGAGCCAGGTTGCAATGCCATCCGGGAGAACACATTGGTACAATGTAAACTCAGCGGTAAATTCGCGGTCCTTCAGCCGACTGCAACACTGGACGATCACACCCACTGAATCGGCTGCATTAGTAAGTAAGAACAAGAACTCGAACCCGCCGTACTCTTTCGAGCCTCGGCCCCCCAGGAGAACTTTCAGATCGCCGATCAACTCGTTAGCATCTCTCTTCTGGACCTCTGAAAGCGCGGACTGCTCGGGGGGGACAACGACATGGTACTCCACCTGGGAGACGCTCGTTTCAGGCGCAAGCGCGTCTGCCGCACGCCCCCCCCCCACCGCCTCCTCCTCCTCCATGTCCTCATCCTCCTCATTGTCCTCCCCATGCTCCTTCTCTTCCTCCTCCTCCGCTGACTCCCCCCGCCAATCCCACTTCCTCCCCCCGCACCTCCTCCGCCAGAAAGGAGGTGCCGCCAGAAACAAGGGGTGGGGGGGCACCCAGGGGCCCAGGAGGGCGGGAGA